ATTGATTTTTTTTGAAAAAAATTTTAATTTTTTACTTTCCTGTAATATTTTTTTTAAGAAAAAATTAAAAAAAAATAATTTTTTTGTAATAACTTTCTTATTCCTCCATGCTAATGTAAGAATTCAATTTGTTTTCTGTTTATATAAACGTCGTTTTTTACATGTTAAAGTAGGCTATTCCCTGTTCATGACTGTTCCTTGATCAATTCCTTAAAATTCATAAATATTATCGGACTAAGTGATTATATGACCTAATTTCGTCGAATAATAGCTCATCTGTTCTAAAAATGTATATTAATTTACTTAAGCATTAGACTGGTTTGGGTGCCTGGCCACAGTGATATTGGAGGAAAATGTAAGACTGATGAGCTTGGTCTYAACAATTGCGGAATGGGAACGGGTAGGAGCTCCGTTAGCTTCCTGTGGTTTGCTGGTGGACCACCTCAGCAAGCGCTGGACAACCACCCCCAGCTTTGCAGTCGCAAAGTCCTTCTAGCCTGAGGTAAATTGGAAGATATCTAKGTTCATTGTCCCATCGACATTCATGCAGTAAAATTGAACGTCATACCGGATGGCAGCTGCATCAGCTGGAATAATATATAATAGTAAAAACTCAATACTTTCTCCTCGATTGTCCCGCTTTTGTAAGGACAAGGCRAAACACCTCGGGTCTCATACACTTAGGCATCCAGGGTATATAGAAAAATGATACATAAAACACCTTAGAAGATTTGTAATAGGTTCAGGGCGATTTGCCGTTAGCTAATATCTAATCAGGAGTTTTTTATTTGGCTTTACAAAGCACTGAATGAACAGTCTAAGTGTGATACCTCCGCCACGCTAAGGGATCAATTTTCYAACCTAACCTATTTAAATATTAAATACATGGACATTGTGTTGTACGCGGCAAACTTTCTTTATCGAAAACGTTATTCCATGAAAACATTACCTTAAGCCGCCTACCTAGGTACAAATATATTGGGTTGAAAGAAGCTTTAAAATATGGTATCGCACAATGTGATTGGTTGCWCTKRAGATATACGACTACAACATCTATTTACAAAAAACGAAAATACTTTTTCGAATACTCAATATACATACAGWTTTTTTAATAATGTTGTAAACTTACCTTTCTCATTTATCTTATTATTCAGTAAATAAAATTCGTAAATTTTGTTTAGTGTGCTCTCGTTAGACTGGAACAATGCATTTATTATGTTTTCTTCCTCTGTTGACTATACCAATAGTTACATAGACAAACTGATAATACTTATAAGTGTCAGAGCAGTGTTAAGCATTTTCCCTCTATTGTTTGGTAAAGTGAAGCTGTGGTGGTCGTACGGAAGTTTGGGAGTGGAGAGCAGAAAGAGTGGTGATTGGAAGAAAATATGGTGTGTGAAGGGGAGGGGAGGCAATGATATATGTATACACACCACTTGTTAAGTGGTGCCTGTGTGAACTGATTGATAATTTAATTTACATTTGAGATTTTTTCTTGTGTTATAAACTATGCCAGGTATTTTCGCAACAAATTTTATCATTATTAATTACTTTGCCTTCCATAAAAGGATACTACAAAATGTGACAATATAGGCAATTGCATAATCGTGCAAATTCACAATGAGTATATAATTATTTAAAAGATGTGCAGCAAAATATAAGCATTAGACCGAGCTTCCGTATTTGTAAACAAAAAACAAAAAAAAAGGAAACAATGTGTAAAATTATTAGAATTAAAGTTTTTGCCTAACAAATACATACAATCACAATTAATAAGGCTTCCACAGCTGTGCGGTTATGAATTATATACTTTTCCGCTATTTAAATGTAACTCTTTACGTTGCAAATTATTCGAGGATCTAATTATACTTTTYTTCAATGTTTCTTCTATGAAATGTTTTTGTACATAACCGCAAATTTAATTTGTTCAAACAATAATTGTGAATTTTTAGGGCTTTTGAATGCCTTTTAATTTCCTMCTGATAACATGACCTGCACATCTTTTTTGGAACAATTTTTTAGCACTGGAAGCTAATTTATTTGTTGCTTTTTTTAATTCTGAACTTAATCAATCCTGAAGAAAGGTTGTTTTAAGGCTATTTGGTGTAATGTGTTATAAATTAATATAAGACCTTCATGGAAGGTGTACAGAGTATTTGAGACGGTTCAAATGATCGCGTCTCTTGACAGTGCATTAGTGCAGCCTTTTGCCCCTAAACATTTAAACATTCTTAAACTCACATGGGTTTTGTTTCCTTAATTCYATAAAGTTGCCTTCTTGCAGTTGGTAAATTGTTTGTGTGTTTTGATGGGCCAAAAGGCTGAATGAGCAAAGGCAAAGTTCATGACTATGCACTGCCATTACAAATGATACTTTATTTAACTATTTAGTTTTTTTGGTTTTTTTTCTTTGAAGTTCTACAATACATTACATTGTGTAAATATATATATTATATTTTTTTTTTTCATTTTACATTTTGGTACAAAAATTCTTCAAATTACTCATTTTTTGCTTTCCTTTTTTCTAMTTTTTTAATATTTTTTTTTACATTTTTGTTTTCGCTTTTAAAATTAGATACTTAACATTAGACATATACAAATACAATAATATTGGAACACTATTTTTTCATCCAGGTAATTTGTTACATTCGATTCAACAACATTATTTGTTAGTGTTTTCTTTTTATTTTACTGTGAATTATCTTTCCATAGTTTTTTATCATTACAATTATTTTGGTTTTTTTAGCATTAATATTATTTTTTTAATGTGAGGTGGTGAGTTTAGGTCCATTGTTGGACACATCTATATATTAACTTATTTTTATAGAATTTGTTTTGCTTTTTAATGTAACGTGACATATTGTTTAATATATTGTGCGCTTCTTTTTACTTCAGTTTGGCCATCTTTTTTTGTTTATTTTGCATTGTTGCGTTGATATATTTCAATAATCGAATTAAYTTAAGCGGCAAATATGTAACTTTGATTCTCAAATATTTTTTAAATCATTTCAGTTGATGGAAGGTTCCTTATGCTTAGCATATTTTAAAATAACGCTTATTTAATTCTGTAAAAAATATATATACACGTTTATAAACCCTTATCTTTTCAAATTTTGCTTTCAATTTCCTGAGTGTTTTATTTTTGCTTTTTAATTTAACAACTAAACATATTTTCACCTCCAATGCTTCGATGGTTTTAACAATAATTGTATAGAAATAAAAAATTACTGAAGTCATTTACTTTATTTCAATACAGTTTTTAGTCAGTTAAAATTTCTTATGCACAACACGA